TGTCTCCACCTTACCACGTCAAGTACGAGGTCTCCACTCATACAAAAACAGCATTCAAACTAATGCCTCTGGTTTCGCGGCCCCAAACATAATAGTCGGCTTCCTTTGCACGAAAAATTTTGGCGTCTTAAAAAGTGTCTGCAGTTTTTTTGTTTGGTTCGCGTGTTCGTTGTTGTTTTTTTTGATCGGCTAGGATGCTCGAAAGCGAAATCGATACGAACGATGATCTGAAATCGATTATTATCGAAGCCGATGTATGCGGCCGTCAAAATATTTCATGTAACCACTTAATTTGTTACATTGATTCAATAATCGTTGCACTGTTTCTTTTTTGGTTTGATTACATATAAAATTCTCGTAATTTTGTAGTACTAATACGCTTTTATTAGCTTCAGACGTATGTATGTTTTGTAACGGAATCTTTGAACATGATTTTGACCCCCTTCAAAACGTCGGATTAACTCGTAATTTGGTATACTTATTAAGGACCGATGACAATTCAATATTAAAAAAATATATTGAAAACCAAAAAAATTGAAAAATTTGAATCTCAACTAAAAAAATGAAAAATAAATAATAGTTTAAAAAAACTAACAAAATATGCTTTTATAGAAAATCCCTAAAAAAATAGAAAATAAATTTTAATAAATTTGAATTAAAAATAGTGAAAGAAAAAATGATTTTATTGTCAAAAAGCGTGGAGTGCTTTTCAGGATATTATCAAAATATTTGGTTTGATTACTTATAGAATTACATACGTATACATATTATCCGTATGTTATGTACTCGTAATTATGTAGTATTTTAGTATAATAATTGATTCAGTTGATAAGTAAACCGCGAATAGTTTATTTCTTGAAATGATCCTTGTCCCCTTGGTTTATTAACTCTGTTTGATATTTGTGAAAGTGCACAAATGTAGGAAAATGGTAAACAAAGCCGCTGGACGTAACTTCTCGGGATCCTCCAAAAAGTCCACTGAAAAATCTCAGTAAATAACCACCATTTTACTTAGGTTATATTTCATCCCATATCATCTCATTTCATTTAATTTCATCCCAGTTGATTAATGTCTGAAATTAATCATCTTCATTTCATTTTACTCCATATTATAATTTTTCATAAAATTATAAGAATACTAGCTGACCCGGCAAACATTGTTTTGCCATATATAAGATTTCTAGGGAATTTCTAGTGTAGTGTGTGTGTGATGTGGTAAATGAGTGAAAGAGGTATGTAGTGCTGTGAACGATGAGGGAATATATAATAAAAATAACAAAACCTCATTCAACCACATAATACCTCATTATAACAAAAAAAAATGTTCAAATAAAAAAAATATGTTAGGGGTGGACAACCCTAATTACTTAGGGGTATGAAAAATAGATAGTAGCCGATTCTCAGGCTTACTGAATATGTATAAAAAATTTCATGAGAATCGGTCAAGCGGTTTCGGAGGAGTATGGGAACGAACATTGTGACACGAGAATTTTATATATTAGATAAATTAAAATAAGACATGATTTAAAGAACTTAGTTACCGGGTCATAAAATCCCTTAAAAAAAAAGAACTAGTAACAACCTAAATACACCATAAATGTGGGTAGATGAATTAAACTCCATAAATTGAACTCCTCCTGATTCGTCAACTTTCAAAAAAGTCGAAGTGACGAAAACCCGAGGAGCTTTCGACAATACAAAGTTTCGCCTAAATTATAGTGCCGGCCACATTTATAATTCAAGAAACGAAAATCATTTTACACGGAATAGGTACATGATACTTTTTTTAACATTTGAAAGTGGCATTTTGGGATCACGTGACGCCAAAGATACCACGGGACACGATTAACAAGCATTCCAATGAAAATCACTGAAATCGGCAAATAGAAACCAAAAAAATGTGACATTTTACGTATTTACTTATTCAGGACTAGCGGCCCGCTTCGGCTCCGCTCGGGTCTTTAACAAAAATTTCAACGATATTTGACGTTGTGCTATTTTTTTAATTAAAAGAACACTTATTGCGGCTTAACGATAATAGCCAGACATACGCTGTCGCGACACTTTTTGTGATTAGTAATGTGTTCTACAAAGTCGTAGTACATTATTTTATTCTATCATCAATGTTTTCGCAGGGCACGCGATGTAAAGGATATTTCAGGTATTTTTTTTACACCTTGGGTTACATTATTGGAGTTGTAGTAAGGTACCCATTTTTTTTTCAAAAAAGTTTATAGACTGATGTCACTCGAGAATAGTGTAGCTTCCAAACAGTGAAAGAATTTTTCAAATCGGTTCAGTAGTTTCGGAGCCTATTTAATACTAACAAACAAACAAACAAACAAATCATTCCTCTTTATAATATTAGTATAGATAATCCGCGATTTTTTTTCTTTCTCCTCCATATTTGAAGTCAACTCAAGTCATAAAAATATTACCCTTAAAGCCTTGGGTATTGCAGATGTATTCTCAGTACTGAAATACTCCAAAAAATATAAGAAAGATAATAGATAGATAATAAATGGACCAAGATTCATGGCAGTCATCCAACGACTGATATTACTGATATTGATACTTGGTAGCTCCAGCCATCTAGGCACTAGCTAACGCACACGATGCTTTTATTTTAATTTTGACAACCGCTGCCCGAAGATTGGTTCCATAGCCGCTGGTAAGACACTTTCTAAGCTCGAACCAATATCACCATCTTTTCAATCCTACAACGAGACTTTCCTCAATAAAATTGACTTCGCATACGCGTGGGCTGATAGATAGATATATAGGTATCTCGTAAAAAGATCTTGGGTATGAAAGTAGTCGGTAATGTGAGGAGGGGGCGTCCTAAAAATGAGATTGGCTGTGTGTAAGAGGATATGCGAGAGAAGATTGTGAGTACAGAGATGATGTGTGATAGGCCTGAATGGAAAAAGAGGAAATGCTGCGTCTACCTCAGATAGTGAAATAGGGGTAAAAGAAGAAGTAAGTCTGTTTGTATATGTGTATGTGTTTGTATATGTATGAAATATTATTACCAATTTGGTTATTTTCACATTAAGTAATTGCACCTACCACAGGCTTCTCTACACCACCACCACCATCAAGTTAATTAAATAAATAAATCCCAAAGTGAGTGCTAGTAATTAAAGTTTTTTTTATACCTAAGCTGTTAGCCTTGAGAGGCTATCTCAGCGTAACCTAACAAGCTGAGCTAAGCGAACGACCGTGCTAACACTAACCCTAGCAAGAGCAGTGCTTCGCAGAATCTACCACCGGATTGAAAACGCGCTGAGAAAATCCAGCGAGAAACTCAATGGGCTGTGTCTGTGGGTTAATTTGCTCGCCTAGTCCTTCGTCGCACGGGAAACGATAACGGTGACCGGTGCTTGTGGTACCTAAAAGCACCGTTTATGGATCGGGAGGATCCGAAATGACGTGACGAGAGGTAGTTAATAGGGTCGATATAGGTAAGTAGTTAGTAGATAGTTAATAAGGTAGTATAGATTATCATTTATTCGAACTTAATAAGTTAACAAAGTGTTATCAATTTTTTTTTGGAGATAAACTTGTCAGTTAATGAATGAAACAGGCAAAGGAAACCTTTGTTTTAAAGTCTAATATTACTACTTGCATGCGTGCTACAAAAGAGGTTGCATATTTTTCTTGCTCATAAAAATATAAAGATCTAATTTTGTATTTTTATTTATTAATGATGAAGTTTTAGAACGATGAAACCTCGCTAATCGACTGCGATCATAAAAACACATCCAATAAAACACCTCACACATAGATTTATTACCGAAAAAAGTATAAAAGAATAGACATTCAATTACTCTGTCATTCAAATTACAACTTCGGAAAGTATGTTACCCCGAAATTATGACACTATTTGCTCAGCGTTTAGTTTTATAACTCTGTGGCCATTTTCTTTCACTTTCCCCAAACGAAATTATAGACATTGAGTATTTTGTCCGACAATTACAACACTTTACCATGACTTAATATGAATTTTTTTTTTCCCGTAACTAGCATATTAATAATTTATTACAGTTTAACGTTATCATAATATGACTTTTTACGCGCCTCATTTTGGGTGTAGAGAGAGTGAGCGATCTTGAATAAAAGATCGATTTACGTGAATATAATACAGAATTAATTCATTTATTATTTTTCCTTCGCCTGTGCTAGATAGAATTTTAATCTTACTTTTGTTTTTTCATTAAACTTATCTTCAATTTTTTTTTTTATTGCTTAGATGTGTTGACGAGGTCACATTCCACCTGGTGTTAAGTGGTTACTGGAGCCCATAGACATCCACAACGTAAATGCGCCACCCACCTTGAGATACAAGTTCTAAGGTCTCAAGTATAGTACATATTTTATATTTATCTGTCTTCTATTTATAATAGGTAACATGGATTTCATTACGTTTTCCTTCTTTATTGCTTCCGACGTTTGGTTTACAATTTTTGAAATTGGTAAATTACGCACGGATACTCATAGTTTTCGTGAGCTTTTCGAGTTAATTTTTTTCCCTACCTATTCGCTGGTAGCGATTTTCTAGCTACGCCCAGACGGGTAGGCGAGCTCACGGTCTCGACCTGAAAGAATTAGCTAACACTAACCCAAGCAAGAGCAGTGCTTCGCTGAATCTACCACCGGATCGGAATCGCGATCCACTGAGAAGATCCGGCGAGAAACTCAGTGGACATTTTTTTTTTTTATTGTTTATGTGTGTGGACGAGCTCACAGCTCACCTGGTGTCAAGTGGTTACTGGAGCCCATAGACATCTACGACATAAATGCGCCACCCATCTTGAGATATAAGTTCTAAGGTCTCAAGTATACTTCAATGTATATGTCTATTGGTGACTTCAGTGTCGACGTCTTCATGATACAGCTATTAGTAATAGCAGTAGGCCGTCTCTCCGGACGCGGTCTCTTCAGACGCGTTATACAGAATGTAAAGAAATAATTCAGTGTTATAGATAAATGTGACTTACCGTCTTTGGGCGGACTTGCACACTGCGGCGCGTAAGACCCTAAATGGTACCCATACGTGTTTTGGTGCATAGGAGGGAAAGGATAACCTAATGATCTAGGACTCGGAAACCCTGATGCCTCGTGAGGATTCTGCTGACCCCCCGGACTACCGAAATGATGGGGATGCTGATACCCCCCCTTGAAAGGCCCATAACCGTGCTGCTGTAATTCTATAAACGCAGATTTTGACACATTCGTGGGGGTCGAGTTGGCTGAATTCGATATATCGTGGGGAGTCTGCGAGCCCCCCAGGTGGTGGTGGTCGAGGTTATCCTGTGACGTCATAGCGGGCTGAGGGGTGGAAGGGCCCCCCCCGTCCGTGGACTGGGGAGGCCCGAACGGATCTGTAAAACTCAGGGTGCTGGGTTTGTTGTTTGGTGATTGAATTCGGGTAATTTTGAGGGCTTTCTTGTTCTTCTCGGGTATCCCGCTTGATTAGCCTGGGGACAAGGAAAAATCGACTTTAAAAACATACGTTTAACATCCACAGTTATTTGTGTAGGTCTCACGGATTTACATGTATATGGAAAGCAGGTATTGAATGGTGTTTTGTGTTTATTCAATTAAAGAATTTCAATTTACAACGAAAACAAAATGGAGACAATAAAACGTTTCGATCTCGCGCGCAATGATGGCTGTCCGATGATGCTTAACGGTTTTTTTTTTTTTTTTCTTCAAATATTTCGACGCGAACGCCCGCGCCCAAGGGGTCAGCCGGGGTCACGGCGCGTAGGTTTCCCGAAAACAAAAACTTCGTCTCGGGCAATTGAATCGACGAGTTCACTTTGTCGATCTAATCGGTACATAAATGCGTCGCGTCGTCGCAATCACATTTCGTCAACTCGCATTAAGGCTGTAATGTATAATCTTAAAACTTACTAATTTTACGGGAGAGCGTTTTAAAGGTTTATTAACATGTGATATTTTTAATATTACGTATCCTTGCAACATTTATTTATTTATTACCAGTTACATTATCTGTCTTTTAAAGTAAGATAACATTTTGTATTAATTTTGTTAACAGTAGTCAAATAATAGGTAAACTAAAAAAAAAACTAAAACTAAACTACTCTCTTTTGACAGTATTTATGAGAGAAGTATATTAATTCAATTTCGAATGCTTTTTGGAAATTGTACACTTTTAATGCGAAAAGACGGTTTGTCCGGTATTCAACGTGCTGTAAGTTCAGTGAAAGTTCAGTGTTCAAGTTCAGTGAGACGACCTGGTCGCTCTGTACACACTTAAGGATGCAGCGCGATGAGGACAGTCAGCCTCATTTGGAGCAATGTTAACACATTTAATGGCAAACCACACGTTGGAGATATATATGGCTAAGTACACGGCCCCGTGAGGGAGCGGGAGGGGGCTGGGCGAACACAAGACGCCGTGGCATGGTCAATTTGTTCAAATTAATAGCGCAAGCTCCTTTTTCTTTTTTTCTGGCCCCTACCTCTGGAACCTCCTAAGAGGTCTCCGCGCCTAGGAGGTGCACGGGGTATGTGGGACTTGGCAATCTGTTGATGTTGGGAGCAGACCGCGGGCCCAAGGAGTTTTAGAGCCCCGAAGTCCGATCTCCGTCCGGGTTCAGAACCCGGTTAGACTAGGGGTTTCCCGCTCTCAAGCGCAAACCCTTTTTTTTTCGGGTTGGAGGCCAAATCACGGCGCCCTGTAGTTAGCATTAAATGTGTTAAGGAGGAAGTGCAAAACAAAGTGAAGTGACTTGTGAGGGCTCTATTCATCGCGAACGAGGCGACAAAAGGCCGTCTTGTAACTGGACTTGAGATAGAAAATTTATAACAAAAAAACCAAATCGACCTTAAACAAAAACGAAAGCAGAACATCATCAGTATAGTCTAAGTCAATTAAATGAGCATCAAGGATTAAGGATAGCTCAAGAACCCCTTTATCAGGTTCTTTTTCAGGATCGAACTAGGTACTCAACGACTACAACAATCACTTTAATGAACGAGAAAAAAATCTATAATGTGTCAAAACGATCTGTTCGCTACTAGGTATGTCTACGATTCACGAAAACCGAAGATAATATTAAATCTCTTATCGGTATTGTCTTTCTCATTACAAAATTCAACCTGGCATAGGTACGCTAAATATTATATAATAATATAATAAGGCATCTAACTGTAACGTTTAAATACTTCGCGGCCGAAACATTTATTTTTTATTTTTTTTATTTACGGCCAATGGTTACAAGACCTTATAGCCTCGCGGCTGAAACATTCCAGAAGGTATTGCCATAACAATGACATTGTCAGTGCTTATAACGCGCGAACATATAGAACAAAAAAAACCTACAAATTTTCGCTTTCGCATTTAACCAAAAAGCTACGTAAATAAATTCTTAAAGCATCTAACTAAAGCCCAATAAGCTGGATTTACGTGTCAAATCTCGGCAGAGCTTTTATTAAAAAAGAAAGAAACTTAAAATTTCAGATATCAATTCAAAAACTCTTTCTTTTGACGTAAAATTAAACGAAAGACATTATCAGACATCACCAATTTTATTGAGCTGTGTTTTATTGTTATTTTATTTAACAAAATAACTAATTGCTAGCCGTTTTCATGAGTTATTGGTGGAATACGTATATATAATACAATAATATGTTAGCGGCGGTAGTCGCTCACGATCGTATGAGCCGTACGCCTGTCTACAAAGTCAACAAAAGGTTTTTGTTTACTGATTGGGCTTGGTTCTATTGTGTTTATATTTTTGAGCGCAATCGATATGATACTTGGTAGTAGGTAATATTTGTAGCACTATCTTCACGGAGTGGCCACTCCTGTCTTCTTTCTTTGTATCTCGATGAAAAGCTTTCAGTTTTTTTTAAGTACTTAATTAGGTGCACTCAATATTCACCACTTTTTCGCGATCGCACAATTTTGATGCGCACGATTCAAACTCGAATTTAAAAGTGTCATTGATTTAGGAGGGGAAAGGGGCGGGACTATATCGATGCGCTCTTAGTTACGTTCAAAAATATTAATGCTAATTATCCATTGCAGATAGCGTAAACATTTACAGACTCAAGAACGCTCACAGCAAGCCGTGATTCAATAGCTATTTCAAAGATTGAGCCTCCACAATCATCGATTCGCATATATTATATCAATATAAACATGATTAAGGTTTTTTTTATTGCTTAGAGGTGTAGACGATGTCACATATACAACGTAAATGGGCCACCTACCTTGAGATATAAGTTCTAAGATCTTAGTATAGTTACAACAGCTGCCACACCCTTCAAACCAAAACGCAATACTGCTTCACGGCAGAAATAAGCGGGGTGGTGGTACCTACCCGTGCGAACTCCCAAGAGGTCCTACCACGAGTAATGTGTCTCAAAGACGTGAAACAAAGACGTGAAAAAACAAAATGCTTATGCTTTATAGAGGCGCCAGTACGCACCGTCAAGTATGACTAATTAATTCTTAAGGCGGGTTCCGTGAATCTAGGTTTTATATAAAAACAAAACCGTTATATTGAAACGTTCCATATTCAAAGACTCAAGGGTTTTCTTATGCCTATGAGTGCTTCAGTTTATATCTATGTCTACTGTAAGCCTGCCTTTTAGTATAATGACATTATATGCTCATAAATATCTCGAAGTGTATTCGCGTTATGCTGACCTAGCTAGGAAACTAACTCAGCAGTAGATTCGAGTATTGTCAGCTTCTGAATTTAGGCTGTCGTTGTTGATTTCAGTTTTCGGACGACCATGGGGTTCATTTTAAAGATCAAAATGTCCATTTTGGAAGTGTTCAAATAACAAGTCGTGTGTTTGTTTGTACTGTTCAATCCTTATGTTGCGTTGTGGTAAATAAGCGTGGACTGTATTTATTGCTTTTGAGATATTTATTAGTCCTTTTTTTTATTGGCCTTGTAGGCAGAAGAGCATACGGTCCACCTAATGGGGAGTGGTTACCGTCGCCCATGCACTTCAGCAATACCAGGGGCAGAGCCAACCTGGTGCCTATCGTTACGTACTCTCCACAAGCCTCGTTTGAAGAAGGACATGTCATAGCGCTCGGGAAACACCGTGGAGGGGAGCTCATTCCATAGTCGGATGGTACGTAGCAAAAAACACCTCTAGAAACGCACTGTCGATGAACGCAGCGGTTCCAGATGATATAGATAAACTCTGCTCCGATGGCGGGTGGTGCGATGATAAAAAGAAGATGAGGGGATCATCTCAAACAATTCCTCCAATTATGTGACAATTTAAAGATTGAATATTATAACAGAAATATGAAATCGATGCGTCGCCCTTGGTGGCTGGAATAGAAAGGGGAAAAGTGTCATGGCGGACGTGGCTCGTTGACACTTTTGACTTATTATGTCATATATTTTGACATACAAGTAAGTAGTGTTGTGAGCCGTTTACGCGGCATTGCTAGCTCGACGGAACTCATATTCCATAATTATTTTTACTTAATAGTGTCCATATTGATATAAAAATAATATATATTCATATGTATTGAAAACAAAACGCTATTCGATAAAGAAATGCCTGAATTTGAAAATATAATTTAGTGTTTATAAAAAATGCTAAAATCAATTAATAGTTACACTAATGGCACGATCAAATTTCGAGCATACAGCTTTTAACTAGTTTTTGTCACCAATCGCCCATGGACAGCAGCAAGAGGTAAGCACCAAGTAACATATTATAAAGAAATTTCAATTTTCGAAAACGAATTTGAAAATTTTTTTTAGCCAACATAATCATAAATTCTACAAAACTTATTCTGGAACATTCAATGGAAACATTGTAACCAGCCGAAACAACCAATAAAATTACTCACATACTAATCTATGTTAATTTGTTAGCGAGCTCATCATTTTACTATGATAACTATGTAGTGAGTGTTCAGAATGTCAACCGCTTAAATTAGAATATTAATATTCTTAAATACTGTAAGATAAGCTTAAACATTTACACAAATATTAGTGTTAAATGATTATGTATGAATAAATTAACCCACTGAAGGTTATAAGATAAATTTATTTACATTAAACTTTAATATTTATGATTCCAATTTTGTAAATCGAAGATAATGTAATTGTGTTTAATATGTATGCAACTGATATTGGAATAAGTTCTATAAAAATAAGATGATTCTAATACTCAAAGATAATGCTCTCACCCACCTTGAGACATGAGGTCGAATTTTACCGACGTATTTAATAATAATATTGTAATAACAACCATCCATGTCTGTGCTTGCAACATGCCCTACTGCTATTTCAATATCGAAGTATAAAACTAAAAACTTCTGTTCTAAATAATAATACTAAAAATTCATATTTCGAAATGTCAACAATAAGTACTCTAAATTCAAAAAAAAATCGATGATTCTCTAACACTGAACCCTGAAGCATCGAACTGATGAAGCGAGATAGATTTATTAGAGAAATTAACG